CCACCAGCAAGACTGTTCTCAGGCAGGAGTATTTTATGTGACGCTGTTTAGAATAGCTAGCCCATGGTGAGGGTAGAAGACCAGCTACGCAGTTTGGATAGCTATGCAGTCCACCCAGGTACAGGCTTGCGGGGTGTCGGCTAATACCGCCCCGTCCCCTCCTAGGTTGGCCACGTGGACATGCTTCCCGTGGCAGAAGGAAAGGCTGAAACGAGGCTCAGCAAGGCGCAGGCTTGCTGCTGAGGCGAGGGTGGTAGCAGGAAGACCACCCGGGAGAGAGGGGAAACTGATGCAGGCTTGCACCTGTGGCAGACTATTTAGGCTCAGGTACACCGCGAGAAAGAGACACACGTGGAGGTACGTGGCACGGAGACTCAGGGCCCAGACGTGGTGTAGCAGCCCCCCTCGGCAGCTGACCAGTCACCCTGGGTCACACTACTTCCAAAGCCGAGATTAGCAATAGGCCTCTGAGAACTGAGTGAATAACCTGAGGATTTTATTTTTTAATTTTTATTTTAAGTAATCTCTACCCCCAGTGTTGTGTTCGAACTCACGACCCTGAGACCAAGAGTTGCGCACTCCACCAACTGAGCAGCCAGGTGCCCCAAATAACCTGAGTTTTGTTTTTTTTTTTTAAAGATTTTATTTATTTATTTGACAGATTGATAGCGAGAGCAGGAACACAAGCAGGGGGAGTGGGAGAGGGAGAAGAGGGCTTCCTGCCGAGCAGGGAGCCCGATGTGGGACTCGATCCCAGGACCCTGGGATCATGACCTGAGCCGAAGGCAGACGCTTAACGACTGAGCCACCCAGGCGCCCAATAACCTGAGTTTTTGAGGCTCTTCTGAGTACATCTGAGCATTTGTAGGGCCTATAAAAGAGAGCGCCTGATTGGGTGGGTCTGCCGGTGTTCTCCAGCATGAGCATCCCCGCTGGGAAGAATGCCCCTGTACCCTCCTCTTGGAGGGGAGTTTCTCCCTCTACCCCGGCTGCCTTGGACTCCTGTCCGGACAGCAGGCTTGGCTTCTGGCAAAGAGCACAAGCCACAAATATTTCATGTGGGAAGCTTGTGTTTGGGACGACTTCCCTCAGAAAGGTCTGTGGGCTTGCCAAGGGCCTAGAGCCCAATAGGATGCTCTCAGGCACAGTAGAAATGGTTGTAAACCACTGCTGTGCGGGAAGAACAGAGAGGAAAGACAGGATTCAGGACCCTGTAGACGCTGAAGACCATTGTTGCCAACGCTTAGAGTAACTTTTTCTGTTGACTTCTGTTTAGAGGGAGGGCAGATTGTTACAGTTCTCTAAATCCAGGTTTGGGAAAGTTTTTTCTCTACGGGGACAGATACTAAGTATTTTAGGCTTTCTTTATTGCATAGTGTTTGTCTGTTTATTTTTACCACCCTTAAAAAAGGAAAAAACCATTCTTAGTTCTCAGGCAAGAGAAAAACAGACCATGTGCTGAATTTGGCCTGATGACCATGTTTCACTGACCTTGAGAGAAATCACAAGGAATCAATCTATCAGAGAGAGCGAAGTTACTTTCTACCGTCCGAGAACGGCTATTTTCTTGCAAGAGACTTGATAAATAATTTTGAAATGGATGTGTGAAAGAATCACTTTCTTCCTCCCAGAATGAAAAAGAAAAGAGAATTGTCATGGGCGAGCAAGGCATGTCTAAGTAGGCATATGAGAAATTAGAAGAGCTAAGGCCGTGCTACCCTCCATGGAAAGGAGAAGCCGGGGAAGTTATAGGATGTCTTATATGTCTTACAGATTTGCTAATGCAACTTTTTTCCTTTGGGGTATGTAAGGGTTAGATATGAAATAGGTTTATGGAAAATAGATTGAAAAAGAAATTCAATGAAAAGAAGCCACATATATCCCCAACTATGTTCATGTTGGATTCGAGACCCTGGAGTGTTTAAGAAAATTAGAAAAACAAGCTCCAGCCCCAATCGTGCATGTCTGTGAAAATGAAAAGAGAAGGGAGGCGTCTGAAGGACTAGTACAGTTTTTTCGGAAGTTCAGGATTTTAAAAGGTTTGTAGAGAAGATAAAAGGGGAGAGTACCTTCCTCGAAATGAATGCAATAGGAGCAAAAACCTACACAGTGGTGTGAAACCTACAACAGAGTTCTATCCTCCCCCTTAGAAGCTGAAGGTTTCTGTGAGCAGTAACGTCCAGGTCAGGACTGTCTGCATCCTTTGGGCGGGCCCAGTGTAGGATGATCACGAGAGTCCCCGTTTTAAAGAAAATTGCTCCTAATTTCAAGATGGTAAGAGCAGTATAAAAACCAAGCACGGGGCCACTCTGAGCAACTGCTCAGGGGAACACTCAAGAAGCAGGTCCTGGAGGACGACTCAGGGCGCCAAACCCTGCCTCAGCCCAACCATCTCTGCTCCCTTGAAGGCTCTCAAGATGTGTCAACAGTGTATGTAGGAACCTCTACCAACTTCTTCATTTGTATGCAGGTTCCTGTAACGGCCTTTTTAGCTCTCTGGTCCACGGGGCCCCGGGGCACAATTTAGGCCCAGGACCTAAATCTTTCTGCCAAGCAGGAACTGAGACCGCTGCCTGAGGTTTTATGTAAACAGAGAAGAGAAAAATGACAAATGTCCGACCTGCCTGGAGGGCACCACGTCAGCCAGGGGGAGTAGAAGAGTGCCCTGTGGTGACCTCTCCCACAAGCAGAGTATCCCAGCCACCGACCTGGGTCCGGGCAATTAGTAGCTGCTCTTCTAGGAGGACAACAGGATGGAGGTGACAACAGGGAGCCTTTCTCCAGGCCTCCCACCCCACTGGGAGAGAAAGGGCTGGGAGAAGCATATTTGGCTTTAAAAACAGGAAGAGCAGTATTTTCGCCACTTTGATGGAATTAGCATACATGCCAAGAGATAGCAATAAGCCAGGAAAACAGCCCATGATTTTTCTTCATCTCCTTGTAAAGCAAAGTTTATAGTAATCTGCCAAGTTTTAACAAAGGAACGAATTGAAGCCCAATAATGCAGGTGTTTAAAATGAATTAAAGTATCTAGAACTATACAAAATAGGATAACGTAGGAATCGGCCCATATGCTGAGTCGTCGGGATTAGTCTTTGAGAAATCATAGGACACATGAGAAACCGAAAGATTGGGCAAAGAAATCTCAAATTTTGAGGGGAAGAAAAAAACAGGAGAAAGTTTAATTCTCAAAATAGGGACTAGTAAATTTGAAATGTATATTGTCGGTAAAATTGTGAGCAAACTGGGCGCCTGGGTGGCTCAGTTGGTTAAGCGACTGCCTTCGGCTCAGGTCATGATCCCGGAGTCCCTGGATCGAGTCCCGCATCGGGCTCCCTGCTCAGTGGGGAGTCTGCTTCTCCCTCTGATCCTCCTCCCTCTCATGCTCTCTGTCTCTCATTCTCTCTGTCTCAAATAAATAAATAAGATCTTAAAAAAAAAAAAAATTGTGAGCAAACTGCACTACACGAATGGTTCAGAGAGTCGTCTGTAAGAATGACATGGGGACAGAAGCCCACCGGTGCTCTGTAAACAAGTCCCTTCAATCCTGACTCTCTTAAAAAAAGGAGGTGATGACAGAGGTGCAATTATAGTGCTAAATCAATGGAATAAAACCGGTGATTCCAGCAAAACGATGAGAAAAACCTAGCATGTTGTCCTTGGGGACAAGATAAAGAAATGAGGACAGATGAATCAGCAGTTTAACCATACAGACTGTTGATTAATTAATGCATCAGAGTCAGCCCGTCCAGGTGGTGTCCCAGACCTGCCCAGCACTCACTGCCCAGCGTAGTAGCTTTCTCAGCAATGTCCATGGTGGTGCAGGAGGTGTGCTCCTCAGGTTTAAAGAGTCTCCTCAAGGTGGGAGGGAGGGTGGACTCTCCAGTATGGATTCACCACCATCTCCCCAGGCTGGAATCCCAATTCCAAACTAACAGGTTGATACTTCAACTAAAATAAATGTAAAGAGATGTGTTTAGGTTTAAAAAAAAAAAAGATGTTCGTTGGAGTGCGTGGCTGGCTCAGTGGGTAGAGCATGCGACTCTTGATCTCTGGGTTGTGGGTTCGAGCCCCAGGTTGGGTGTAGAGATTAGTTAAAAATAAATTATCTAGGGGCGCCTGGGTGGCTCAGTCAAGCTCCTGCCTTCGGCTCAGGTCATGATCCCAGGGTCCTGGGATCGAGCCCACATCAGGCTCTTGCTGAGCGGGGCATCTGCTTGTCCCTCTCCCTCTGCCCTCGCCCACCCTCCCCCCCTCCAGCCCCGTGCTCTTGCTCTCTCTCTCTTTCTCTCTCACTCTGCTCTCTTTCAAATAAATAAATACAACCTTTAAAAAAAAAAAAACCCTCTAGACTAGTGTTCTATTAATGTTACCTGTTATTCAGTTCTGGACACTTTACCTGTGTTTGCCTGCGATGTGTGTGACTTTTTATTCAGTCACATTGAAAAATAAGACATAATGGGCGCCTGGGTGGCTCAGTTGGTTAAGCGACTGCCTTCTGCTCAGGTCATGATCCTGGAGTCCCGGGATCGAGTCCCACATCGGGCTCCCTGCTCGGCAGGGGGTCTGCTTCTCCCTCTGCCCTCTTCCCTCTCATGCTCTCTGTCTCTCATTCTCTCTCTCTCAAATAAATAAATAAAATCTTTAAAAAAAAAAAAAAAGAAAAATAAGACATATTAAAATCACATATTTATTGAAAAATAATGTATATATGAAAATACAGGACTAAAAGGTACACAATGGAAAATTCTCCCTTGATTACAAGTTCTGGTAACCAGAAGATAACCCTTGTTCAGTTTCTTGCATACCTTTCATGTTTGTGTACGAATGGGCACAACGTTCTGTGCCTTTGTTTTCCGCCCACGTACTGTGTATCTCTCCATGGCAGTATCTGTAGACCTACTCCATTCTTCCGTAAGCTACACAGCATTTTGTTGTGTAGATGCAGCATAATTGATTTACCTCGTCTCGGGGTTGTACTCAGGCTTTTGTTTTTACAGACGGTGCTGCCGTGGATTTCCCTAGAGCTCGGACACTGGGGTCAGACTGACTGCGGGTAAGTCCCAGTATTGTCACTGATTAACTCTGTGGCCCTGTCTTAGCTTTACGGACCTGTAATCTCCTTAAGTGTGAAATGGCAGTAGTAATCATGCCAAACTCATAGGGTTCTTGTGTGGATGAAGTGTAAAATGCCTTGCTTGGTCCCTCATACACAGTAAGCTCTCGACAAATACGAAATAAGCCTATTTTTTTCATTTTCCAACTTGATTTACATTGAGATTTTCTGTAAGGTGAGTTCTTGGAAGTCAAATTGCTAGATACAAAGGTGTTCATTTAAAACTGGTAGATAATGGGCGCCTGGGTGACTCAGTCAGTTAAGCATCTGCCTTTGGCTCAGGTCATGATCCCAGGGTCCTGGGATCAAGCCCCACATTGGACTCTCGCCTGAGGGGGGAGCCTGCTTCTCAATCTCCCACTCACCGTTCTTGTGTGCTCTCTCTCTGTCAAATAAATGAATAGAATCTTCAAAAATAAATAGAACTGGGCACCTGGGTGGCTCAGATGGTTAAGCGTCTGCCTTCGGCTCAGGTGATGATCCCAGGGTCCTGGGATCGAGTCCCGCATCGGGCTCCCTGCTCCGCGGGAGCCTGCTTCTCCCTCTGCCTCTCTCTCTCTCTCTGTCTCTCATGAATAAATAAATAAAATCTTTAAAAAATAAAAAATAAATAAATAAATAGAACTGGTAGATGGTGTGAATTTGTCTCCCTGTTGGATCACCTGCTTGCCCCCTAGATAGATACACACTGCCTCTCTCCACTCTCCTCTGTACCTTCAGAGGCCGACCTCTGTAAAACTGTATCAACAGTGTCTTCACCCACTGACTTCCAGTCAGGTTCCCCGTGGGAAACACAGGCGCAGGATGGGAGGATGGGAGGAAGGAGCCCCAGGCTTGCTCCCCTACCCCTCCTGCCATGTTTCAGTCAGAGCCCCCTCCCCTGGCTCTGCAAGCGCCCGTGCGAACCACTTCCTGCAGCTGTTCCACTTTGGTGCTTCACCGACCCTTGTAGGAGCCCTCAGCTCTGAGCACATCTGTGAGTAATCCTTTCATCCAACTGCCTTCAATTACGCTTTTGACATGCCATCCGCCTGGTACGCTAACCAGCTTACATGCCCACTAATAAGCAGTGACAAAACTTGTCTTGCCATACTTTTGGCAATATTGAACTTCAGTTTCTTTTTCAAAGATTATGTATAAAGATTCATGTATTTATGTGACAGAGAGAGAGAGAAGCATGAGAAACCGAAAAGATTGGGCAAAGAAGTGGGAGGGGCAGGGAGAGGGAGGGAGAATCCCAAGCCGACTCTGTGCTGAGCATGGAGCCTGACATGGGCTCAGTCCCACAACCCTGAAATCACGACATGAGCCGAAACCAAGAGTCGGGCACTCAACCAGCTGTGCCACCCGGGCGCCCCTAAAGATTCCATTTTTTTAAGTAATCTCTATACCCAGCATGGGCTCGGATTTATAATCCTGAGATCAAGAGTCACATACTCTACGGACTGAGCCAGCCAGGTGCCCATGAGCTTCAGTTTCTTAAAGGCCGGTGCGTGAGTACTATCTTACTGTACTTCAGACTGCTATAACAGAATACCATAGACTGCGTGGCTTATAAAAGATAGAAATTTATTTCTCATGGACTTGGAGGGTGGGAACCCCAAGGTCAAGGTGCAGGCAGATTTGGTGTCTGGTGAGAGCCTGCTTCCTAATTCGTGTGCATGCTCACATGTTGGAAGGGGCAAGGGAGCTCTCTGAGGCCCCTGGTGGTGGTGGTGGTGGTCGTTATTGTTGTAAATTAAGCTGGGGCACCTGGCTGACTCAGTCAGAAGAGCCTGTGACTCTTGATCTTGGCATCATTAGTTTGGGCCCTATGTTGGGTGTGCAGATTACTAAAAATAAATACTTTACCAAAAAAAAAGTATTCAGGGGCTCGGTCAGTTAAGCGTCTGCCTTTGGCTCAGGTCATGATCCCTGGGTCCTGGGATCAAGTCCCATGGCGGGCTTCCTGCTCAATGGGGAGTCTGCTTCTGCCTCTGCCTCTGCCCCTCTCCCTGCTTGTGTTCTCAGGTTCACTCTTTCTCTCAAAATAAAAAAATCTTAAAAAAAAAAAAAGTATTCATATATCAAGGGAAAAAAAAGTAAGTTCTATACCCAACATGGGGCTCAAACATGACCCCAAGATCAAGAGTCACATGCTCTACCAACTGAGCCAGCCAGGTGCCCCTCTGAGGTCTTTTATAAGGGCACTAATCACATTCATGGGGACTCCACCCTCATGACCTAATCACCTCCCAAAAGCCACACCTCCAAATACCAGCACTTTGGGGATTAGGTTTCAATACATGAATTTTGGGGGATGCAAACATTCAGCCCATAGCAAATATAGATATTTATTTCTTCAGTATCATGTTAGTTCAGTCTTTAGAAGGCCAATTAAGGCCAATATAAGAAAATTCAAACAAAATTATATTAAGAATTATTGGAAACTTAATACTTTACTCCAAAATATATGCTATTAAGGAATCACTATAAATTTTGTTAGGTGTGATGATGACGCTGTTGGCATATTTAGAAAAAAGAAAAAGCCCTTATCTTTAAAAAGTATTCCTATATTATAAGTGAGATGATATGGTGTCTATCTATATTTACTTTAAAATGCTCCAGAGGAAGAAAAAACAGTGTGGGGAACACATGGAACAAGCCTGGGAAATGCTGGTAATTGCTGAAAGTGGATGAGGGGTAGCCTGCTTCTCGCTCTCCCACTCCCCCTGCTTGTGTTCCCTCTCTCGCTATGTCTCTCTCTGTCAAATAAATAAAATCTTTAAAAAAAATATGAATCTTCCTGCAATCCCAAGAAATATTAACATTGATGATGTAAGTATAAAAGTGCCAAGCCTGCCTTCTCTTAGATAAAAAATTAGAAAGCCTAAAAAAAAAAAAAAAAAAAAAAAAATTTAGACTGTTCCTAGGTAGAATCCAGAGGGAAAGGATATTTAAGGTTACATGCGTTGTTCACCAAAAATAGAGGAAAGTGTTAATTTTTGCTCTTGGATTTAAGTCAAGGTACTATATAGAAGTTGTGTAACATTGAGGAGTTCTGTGACTCTGCATTCCCCTGCCCACCGAAGGCCTGCCTCTCCGTATGGGCTACTACAGTGATTCAGAAAGTGTTTTAGACATTTCTTTAATTATGTACAACCCAAAATATTGGTGTTTCGAATGGATTAAAGTGTAGCATTCTTTAATTCTTTCTGCTATTTGTCACAGTTGTTAAAGAACCAAGTATGTATTGCATGAAAACATTATGACCTTTTTCGCTTGCCAAAAAAAGTGCCAAAGAAACTGGAAAAAAAGATCTATGATCTGCGTTCCCTCAAGTATGACTATGAACATTTAATCATGACTTTTCAGTGGTGATTTTATGTTCCCATCATATTTGGATATCTCCCAATATTTATTCATTTATTTAGAGAGTGGGGGGAGGGGCAGAGGGAGACAGAGAATCCTAAGCAGACTCCACCCCAGCGAGGAGCTCAGTGTGGAGCTTGCTCACACGTCCCTGAGATCATGACCTGAGCCAAAATCAAGTTGGACACTGAACCGACTGAGCTACCCAGGTGCCTCTCTCCCAGTATTTTTAAAAGAAAAAGGTCAAACATATATTGTCTATCCACAGATTTCTCACATCCTCTTTATTTTGAAAAATTTTGTGTGTACATGAAGATTGAAAGAATAATACTATGAAGGCCTGTGTGCCCGTCACCATCACCTAGATTCAACAGCTGTCAACATCTTGCCATGTTTATCTCTCTGCAGATACTTTTTCTTTTTAACTGACCATGTGAAAGTGTTCATGACACTTGGCTCCTTCTGTTGCTTTTTCAGGGTCCCTGCTCAGAACCCTTCACCAACTCCCCTTTCTGCTTTGCCCTTGAACATGGGTGTTCTAAATGGCCCCAGCTCCATCCTTTATCTCAAATTAAGAACCAGGACGTTTTGTCTTCTATGAAAGGCCTATCAGGCACCAGAAGATGGAAAGAAATTATTTCCTGTGGGAGAACCCATGAGAATGTCTGGCTAAGAATGAACTGCTTAGTCACTGCTCCTTCCTTTTGACCTTCCAGTCCTATATCTTCTGGCCTTTGCATGTTTACTGAGAAACTATACCCGGAACTATCCAGAGGGAGGAATGCAGGTAAAAAGCAAAAACGATTTTGCAATGTTAGAGGCGTAAGGGAAAGATTTGGTGGAGATTAAAGCAGAATAAATACCATCTTTCTCAATTATAAAGTTGCGGGATGTCATTTGTCCATGATAAAATTCCCCCCCCCCCCACAGATAATTTAAAGTTGACGGTTACAAACCCCCATTAACAGGTTAAATACACTCAGTACACATGGATTTCTGGTCTTAATGCTTCACAGAGCTAATGAATCTGTTTCGCTTGAAAGGACTACATCTAATCCTCTTAGCATCAAAAGGGAAAAGCTTGTTCAACTAACTCCCTCTGTTACCTGAATGAGAGGTGAATGTTCCCTTCAGAAATTCTTTGCTGTTGAGGAGTTATGCTTTCAGTTGCGCTGAGAAGTAAGGCTGGGCAGAGGTGAGATGGACCTTGAGAGTGGGAAAGAGAGAGAGCAGTATGCAGCGCTGATGTATCAGATAAGGAACAAGAGAGGAGGCTAGCTGAGTCCTTGAGTGGGGTTCTTTTATTTTATTTTTTTTAAGTGGAGTAAGAAATTTGGATGTTTAAATCAACAAAATGCAGAAAATAAACTAGCATATAAGATGACCCTTAATAAGCCATATGTGTTTATTATTGGAAAAGACAAGTTTAAAAAAAGGAACTAGCTTAAAAAGCAGGATAGTTTCTTTTTTAATTTTCTATTATTTCCCAAATATGGTAAAACTGTGGCCGATACAGATTTAACAGAAGTAAAACAGCTGAGTAAGACAATAAAACAGCCATATTACAGTAATGTGAAATGTTAACACTGGGGGAAAGTGCATGAGAATTATATGAGAATTCTGTTATCTTTTTGACTTTTTGTAAACATAAAAGTGTTCTAAAATAAGTTTATTAAAAAAAAAAAAAAAGCCTAACCTATGATGTTGAGTAAAACAATGGATGTATGGATAATGAGCTGCTCAGTATTATCCTGGTGATTACTATAATCATGAAAATTATACCTTAAAAAAGCTTGTTAATTAAAGATTTGACATTTTCCAAGTAAAATCCATGTTAAAATATTCAGCTCAGGTTGTTGATTCTAAACTAACAAGGAGCCAATCAAACACAATCAGACTAAGAACAGTTTTCTAATATTTTGGGTACTTAGGACGCCAGAAATGCTGTCTTTCTTGAGGCTAGAATAAGCTAGATGAGGCCATTTGAACAAAACAAGGCTGTTATCTGTCAGTTTCTCCTGCATTTCTGGTTAATTTGGAAGAAAAACAAAGAACTGTGGGGGATCGGATGTCCACGTGTTCCTTCTTTTTCCACTTTCTGGTATTTAGATATTCCTGAACTTAGGGCAATGGTAAGATCCCATTGAGATACAGGACTCCTTCAATAAATAATTCTGTAGCACTCATTGAGGATATCACATGCCTTCTCATTAAATAGACAGAACCACAGAACCTGCTTCCATTAGGATTCACACGGGGCCAGCTCAGTGTTTGACATTCAGTCTCAGAGACCAGACAGTGGCGAAGAATAGCCCGCAGGCCACATCTGGCCTGTAGTCTTTTTTTTTTTTTTTTTTTAAACAGTCCACGAGTTAAGAATGGTTTTTACATTTTTTTTTACATTTTTAAATAATGAAAGAAAAAAAGACCAAAAGACTATTTCATGACACATGAAATGACATTCAAACTTCAGCATCTATAGATGAAGTTTTATTGGAATCCACCCTAGCGGGATGGGTGCTTTCCTCCTGCAAAGGCAGAGCTGAGTGGTTCTGACTGCGCGGCCTGCAAAGTCTCAACTGTTTACTCTCCGAGCCTTTCCAGAAAAAGTTCGTCAGTCGGTTGTAGACAACTCCCCCCATGCACACTCCTCCTCCTGGGTTTTCAGAGCAGTGTTCTCATTTTTTGGCTTTCCAACTAAGTGCCACTATGGGATTGAAGTGGCAATGGGGCAGGCTCGGTCTAGTGAGGAGGGGACTGAGAGTGTGGCTAGCCAGGAGGGGCCTGGTGGACACGAACAGGCAGGAAGGTAAGATGTCAAGTACCAGAAGAGCTAATATGTGGCCAAAGAGGCTAGGCAGGTCCTGGTGATGTGCTAGAAAGAAGATCCCATGTTAGGAAGTCAACTCAGAAACAGGAGACATGAGGTATGAGTGGTCTAGGCAGAGTCTAGAAGGTCAAAGTTTGCAGAAGCTGCATGAACAAGCAGGGTGACACCAAACCCAAGATGTAATCTTAGGGCAAAGGGGATTATCCCATTTTACACGGCTTTCTGGGTTGGACAGCCTTAGGTCCCAAACTACTAATGACATTCAGAAGAAAGTCTGTGTTTAAAAACACAGACCTCGGGCGCCTGGGTGGCTCAGTTGGTTAAGCGACTGCCTTCGGCTTGGGTCATGGTCCTGGAGTCCCGGAATCGAGTCCCGCATCGGGCTCCCTGCTCAGCAGGGAGTCTGCTTCTCCCTCTGACCCCCCCCCCCCCTCATGTGGTCTCTCTCATTCTTTCTCAAATAAATAAATAAAATCTTAAAAAAAAAAAATAAGACCTCAGGGGCGCTGGGGTGGCTCAGCTGGTTGAGCATCTGACTCTTGATCTCAGCTCAGGTCTTGATCTCAGGGTGGTGAGTTCAAGCCCCATGTTGGGCTCCATCCTGGGTGCAGAGCCTGCTTAACGCAGACCTGAGGGGAACTGCACATTCATACAGATTGAGTCCTTTGATGGATGCTGAGTACGAGATGCTGGATATTAGACTCTGCTACTAGACTTCCCTTAATATTTAGTTCCACACACTACTGATTATAAGATGCTGGTACTTGTACATCTCAGCAGGATAACCTTGAGCCGGAAGCCGGTCCTTCCTTCACAACGAGGCCATGTATCTAGTTCCGTATCAAAGTGAAAAGCCATCTTCTTACCAATCTCCCAAGCAAGAAAATCTCCCTTGTACGTCACTGGAAGTTCCACGTGCCTTTTCCCAATTCCCATTTGACTAGACAGAAAGTACATAGTAGGGAGAGGAAAAATGACAGAAAGAGGAAGGTCATTTAAGTTGTGCTGATTCAATCATTCTTAATAGCCAGTGATAATAATAGATCATTTAAAACTAATAAATCAAGTGTTATAGAATAAGTGTAGTTAAAAATGTAAAGATAAATACTAAAAAGAGCAGGAGGAGGGAAGAAGTGTTAATAAACTAATTTCACCAGTTCTCATAGTAAGGAGTCATTCGTCCTGTCTAAAGAAATAGAGGAGGGGCACCTGGGTGGCTCAGTTGGTTAAGCGTCTGCCTTCGGCTCAGGTCATGATCTCAGGGTCCTGGGATCGAGCCCCATGCCGGGCTCCCTGCTCAGTGGGGAGTCTGCTTCTCCCTCTGCCCCTGATCACGCTTCTTTCTCACTCTCTCTCTTTCTCTCAAATAAATAAAATCTTAAAAAAAAAAGGAAATAGAGGATTACATGTAAGATATGAATTTATATTTTTAAAGGTATCAACTAGAACAAAAATACAAATGGGTATTTCCTTATACTTTATTAGGAAAAACACCCATATACACTATAGTCACACCCATACAAGAAAATAGAGTCCCTGGAAGGAAAGATTTAAAAAATCATAAAAAAACAAAACCAAAACCCCCAGAAAACATGATACAAAATGTGATGCAGAATTAAGACCAAATGTTTATGTGCATGGGTTAGCTTCACTGTGACAGACACTGTTACCTACCCTACAGCTACCCCCCTGCTTTTGTTTGGGGGGTAAACCCACCCCTTGGGATAAGTCACTAGCAGCCAAGCCTTTTGTCGGCCTCCCTTACACCTAAGAGGAGCCAGGCCTGTGATCTGTTTGCATGGCAAGTGGATTTGAGGGGACACCACTGCAGGGCGGCTGGGAAATAACATGTTTTCCCCTGATGAGAGGAGCCCCAGGAGGACAGAGGCTTTTATGCTGTTTTCTGCCTTTGAATGTAGCTGAGAGGCTGGGAGCCACGGGAACCATTTTGAGTTCATGAATCCACCAGCATAGGCCTGGCAGAGCAGAAGCAAGGAGTCTGCGTGCGGAGGCCACGGTTGAGCCGTTGAGTGCATGCCGGCTGCCAAGCTGCCGAGTGACTCGTATCTTTACTTCCAAAGTTCCTTTCTTTCTGCGGGCCTAGCATGTGCAGAGGTCTCGGTTAATCTTGCTTAGCAGAATATTCCTCTGCAAAGCTGTTAGCCAGTTGCCTTTTGCAGACCACTTAGATCCTTCACTTGGAACAGAGAATAGTTGATTTTGTACTAAAAATCTTCCTAGCAGAGACTCCTCCTGGTGTCGGAGTATATAAATGGCTTTCAGCTTGTGGGATGGAATTCCAGAACACTGGAAATGGCAGTGCAATCACAGAAAAAGACTCAGGAAGGAGCTTCTTGAGGTCACACAAAGGTTACGTAAACTGCTCCAGGCAGCCCTGAATTCTTTATTCTTATGAGTGTTTAAGCTCCCATAGTCACGGGGTGTTAGTACTGCTTGGGGCCTCTCACCGATTTCTTACTGACTTCTATTGAACTCATAATCTCTCTAACAGACTTTCTCTCCTTCCCCCAGGTCCCTCTGCCCTCCCTGACCCTCGCAGTCATTGACTTCCTAATCAGTCTCGCAATTATCCTGACGCCTAGTTCCCAAAATCTCTGCAGCCTCTTCCCTCCTGGCTCCCTGGCAGTCTTACCCTTCCTCCTTTCTAAAATAAACTCATTCCTCCTGCTCCCACCCATCCTACACCACCCTGGAGGACTTCCCTTCTTTCTCTTGTGTTTCCCACCTCCTTGGTTCCTTCTGCGTTTAGCTGCAACGGGTCCTTGGATAGTCCCTCGTCACTCCCACCATGCTGTTTCTCCCCGGGGCCTCCCTGATCTCCTGAATCCTCCTTGCCTTCCTCTGTCCATAGTCTCAACCCACTGCATATTTGGCAATCTGGTTTCCTTCCCCACAGCTGCACTGAAACTGTTCTCTTAAAGGTCAACAATGACCTCTTTTTAGCTAAATCCCCATTATTCTTTTCTGGTTTCTCAATCTCTTGACCTCTTGGTGCATTTAAAAAAAAAAAAAAAAAAAAAGATTTCTCCTACCTCAAATGCTCTCTTCTTGGCTTCCATCCTGCTAGCTTGCTGTTCTTTCTCTTTGTGCAGCTTCTCCCCCTCATGCCCTCCCCCTGCTGGATACTCCCATTCCTCAGCCCCCAAGGCCCCCAGGCTCTCTTTGCTCTTTCACTCCAAAATCCCAAAATCCCATCTTTCCTACAGCTGTTACCTCTGTGCCGGAAAGGCCTGGGCCCCTTGCTCACTTAGGCATGTGCCCCTCGCTGCTTACCATGCAGAAACTCTTGGTTAGCTCACTCGAACCATAATTTGAAGGTATCTGTCTTACCAAACTCACTCCTCCTTCCCATTGTCCTGCCTTTGGTCATGGCATGGCTATTTTCTTCATCTCCGTATTAGTTTTATAGGGTTTCCGTAGCAAAACCCCACAGAAACGAGAGAGATTGAAGGTGGCTTAATCAAAAGAAATTTACTTCCTTACAGTTCTGGGGGCTGGAAGTCCAAGATCAAGGTGCTGGCAGGTTTGGTTTCTCCTGAGGCCTCTCCATGGTGTGCAGACTGGCCACCTTCTTACGTGTCCACACACAATGCTGGTGTCTCTGCCTCCTCTTAGAAGGACACCAGTCACACTGGATTAGAGCGACCCCAGTGACCTCATTAGACCTTAATTATGCCTTTAAGGGCCTTAACTCCAAATGCGGGCATAATCTGGAGTACTGGATTTGGAGGGCTTTAACACAGACCTGGGGAAGGGGGTGGGTAATTCCATCCACTACAGTCCCCCAGGCCAAAAAACTCTACTGTCCTCTGTTTTTACCTCTGTCATCTTCTACCCAGATGCTGGGTCTTCTGGACTTTCCCTAGTAAATGCTAAATCCATGTCTTTACCACCTGTCCCAGTGCCATCGTCAGGTCGAAATCTAGTATAAATTTCCCTGCCCAGTCCTTGTAAAGCCATCTATAATCTGATCCACCTCATCTTTGCTTTTAGCATTTTTTAAAAAAGGTTTATTTATTTATTCTGGAGAGAGAGAGCACACGAGCAGGGGGAGGGGCAGAGGGAGAGGGAGAGACCGAGAATCTCAAGCAGACTCCCCACTGAGTGCGGAACCTGACCTTAGGCTCTATGGCTCGGTCTCACACCCCCGAGATCATGACCTGAGCCAAAATCAAGGGTCAGACACTTAACTGTCTGAGCCACCCAGGTGCCCCTCTTTTGGCATTTTTATCAAAGCCATTCATGTACATAAAAAATAGAAATGATAATATTAAAAAAAACCAGAAAACAAAAACAGTCCTGCCTTAACCCTAGGCCCATTGCCCAGATGTAGGCTTCAGTGTAGTTTCCTTGATCTAGAATATGCTTGAGGAAATTACTTTCCACCAGATCTCTTTTTTCTTTTTTTTTTTTTTAAAGATTTTATTTATTTATTTGAGACCGAGAGAATGAGAGGGAGGAGGGTCAGAGGGAGAAGCAGACTCCCCGCCGAGCAGGGAGCCCGATGCGGGACTCGATCCAGGGACTCCAGGATCAGGACCTGAGCTGAAGGCAGTTGCTTAACCAACTGAGCCACCCAGGCACCCTGGATCTCTTTTTTCTTGCCTTGCTGGTTACTCCATAATTCTAAATAATAATATTATACAAGTATTTTTAAGTTGCATGTATTTATTATCAATTTAGACATTCTGCTCTTTATGAAAGATAAGAATTAGGCTCAGAAACACTGCCCCCATATCATCTCGCCTCATTCTGCCTTCCAGTTTTTGATAGTTATAAATTATTTTTAGTCCTGAGCTTTTTTCTTGCCATCCGACATTTGAGAGTATTTCTTAATTCCTTACAAAGTAAAATGAGATTACTAGGGCTCTTGTTCTTCCGTTTCTCTTTCTCCTTCCACTTTTCAACTTTTTTTTGTTTAAGAATTTTGGGGGGGGCACCTGGGTGGTTCAGTTGATTCGGCATTTGACTCTTGATCTCAGTTTGGGTCTTGATCTTGGGGTCATGAGTTCAGGCCCTGTATTGGGCTCCATGCCGGGCATGGAGCCTACCTAAAAAAAAAAAAAAAAAAAGAATGTTAAAATTTTTAAATGATGGTAATTTTATAATTTATTAATTATTATTATCATTATTATTATTTTTAAAGTAAACTGTATGCCAACATGGGGCTCAAACTCACGGCCCTGAGATCAAGAGTCACACACTCCACCAACAATTTCTGTCAGGTAGATCTTTAGCTTCACATTGTCAAAGATCATCACATTTACAGTCTGTGTGTGAGAGTATTTAAGAGCTTTATGTTTATGGGTTTATTCTGAAAATATTATGTCAATACATAGGCCTCATGTTATTATGACTACATAAATATTGTTCACAGTGGAGCCAAATATTGTGCCAGGAGTAGACTTTTCCCCCTAAGATCCGTTGTTAACCATCCCTGGACTGTTCAAAACAATATGCTCTTAACATCTGTACAAACACATCCTCTTTTCTTTCATTCTACCAGTTGCTCAAAAATCTTGCCACATTTTAGTTTGCTTCACATTTGGACATTTTGCTTTTAGTGTTTCTAATTTTTTTTTTCCTTATTAAGAGGTATTTTTGTTTCCTAGTGACAACAGACCAGGTGGTTTAACACAACAGAAGTTTATTCTCCTACAGTTCTGGAAACTGGAAGCCTGAAATCACAGCGTCAGCAAGGCTATGCTGTCTCTGGGCTCTGGGAGAATCCTTCCTTCTTTCTAGCTTCTGGTGGCTCCGGCAGTCCTGGCTTTCCTTGTCTTGCAGCTTCAATACCCCAGTCTCTGCCTCCCTCTTCACATGGCTTCCTTCCCTGTGACTCTGTGTGTGTCCTTTCCTCCTCATAGAAAGACTACCCTAAATCCAGGATGCCTTCACCTCCAGATCCTTAACTAGTTATATCTGCAAAGACCCCATGCCCAAATAATGTCACATTTTGAGGTTCCATGTGGACATGAATTTAAGGGGGGGGGTACTGTTCAACTCACGACCAAGGGGAAAATATGATTTTCTCACTATATTA